CTCTGTCGTGTTTGTTTTTGTGGAGCCTAGCAAACTCCGTGCGTGTGTCTTCGGTGGAGCCTAGCAAACTCCACTTGTGTTTGTCTGTAACTGCAACTCAAGAAAGTTTTTCCTGCCTGCCCCGCAACCACCTACGGCGTAAGTAAAACAATCTTTAATTAACCGCTACGAGTCTGTGCCTAATTCTAGTCCGTCGTGCAAAAGTACCCGCCCTACCGTTGCGGGCTCCCGGCCACAGCCCGCCGCGCATCCCCGAAAGCCTCGGACTGCTCCCGGCCCGCATACTTGCCAAAGCCAAACTACTGTTGGGATGATATATTTGACAAGCATGAGTGAGACTGGGACATAATTTCATGTTTGTTATATTTTGTCAATGGGTAGAATGACAGGAATGATATATCTTCTAAAGCATTGTTATTCCTTCAAGTTTGCAAATATATAAAGAACATTCCAAAAGTCATAGTCATTTCCATATAGTCCTAATCTTAATGCCATTTTAAATACTGTTCTTGATTTTAGAAAATAGTGAGGAAAATACTAATGGCTTGCTTAGTTTTCTAAATGGTTCTAGTTTAGTTCCAATGTACAGTCTAGTATTGACTTTATGCTGGGTTGATAGCAACTGAAATGGACTATGAGAAGGTTATTTTACAGTAAAAGCTGTGTTATCCGGCACTTTACCATCCAGAATGCTCTATTAACCGGCATCTGTCCCACCATGGCACTTCCGGTTTTGCCGCCGTGAGCTGAGTCCCACTTCTGTCTCATGGACCACGGCCTGGCGCATAGCAGCTTGCGCAGGGCCCCCCTCCTTGTTCCCTGGCACACTGACACCAAGGAGTGAAAGCCCTGGTGCACCAGACGTGGCGGGAGAGGCAGCAGCCCAAACAGGCAAAGACGCCTCCAACCCACCAGGCTAGAGATAAGTATAACTCTCAGATAACCAGCATATTTGATTAACTGACACCCCCCATGCCCCATGGATGCCAGATAACAGAGCTTTTACTGTATTTGGCTTTTGAAAATGTTTCAGTGATTTTACTCCATTCCTAGTGAACAGGTGTTGACATCAAACAAACTGCCATCACAATTATACCTTTGTTGGCAACCTTTGCAGAAGTTACAAAGATCTAATAAATAGTACGACTACTTCAGTTCTGGCCTGGAGAGAATACTTCTGAGTTTGGAAGGAGTGTTGAAACTGCCTGAACCTCATGATGAAAATAGAATTTGGCAGCTGGTCTTGTTTTATTTATTCAGTGTTTCAGTGTATATCTGTAGGTACCCACTCAATGCTCTGGACTCGTATCCCAAAATTAAACAACATTATAAACGTACAAAAAGGACTACTCTTAAAGAGATGCAAACCAACTTACAGTCTCTTCAGCAACTGAAACATTGAAGGAAAAAATATAATAATTATGTAGATAATTGGTACTACAGTGTTGCCATACAGAAACATCAATGATTATTGAAGTAAAAGGAAAGGGATGAGGGATAAAAAAACAATTCAGTCTGAATTTGCTGTTTAGCTGTCCCACTGCTAAATACTGAAAACATTTAGAGGGAGGTGAGAAAGGGTACTATAACTAAGAGGAAGGAAATGGCCAGGAAACGGTCTGATGCTGGAAATGAAGCCCGTTGTGTTGCTTCCAGTTTATAAAGCCCTAAGGCTTAGAGATGTTATAGTAGGTTGAGCTAAAACTCTCCTCAGTAATGTAGGGTCCTCATTGGCTGCTTTTGTTTGTAAGATCATAGAAAATAAAGACTGGATCGTACCACAGGAAGTAATCTAGTCCAGATAGACACTTGTTAGGCCTGCCATTGACAAGTCATGGTGAGGAATAGCCAGACTTCCCCTCAGTTTAAATAGCCCCAGAACCTCTGTTGAGCAGTTGTAGATATGAACTGAGAAGAGACTGAAACTCTTGAATGTCCTTTTATATAGCTTTTTCCAATTCTGTTTATATTTCAAGTTCAACATTTTAAAGGCTTTATTATTTCACTTTGTATACAAGGACTCAATTTTATGTATGGAAATTGGGAAGATGTTTTTGTTTAGGTAAAATAGGTACCTCCTAGCTTGTACCTATGGCGGGGCAGGAGGGGGGGGGCCTGTACTGAGCCACCCACCTCACTGTGCCCAATCACCTTCCAGCCTCCCAGCCTCCCTAAGGCTGTTCATCATGTTTGGCTGACCCCCTTCCTGGAGCACACCCACAAGCCTGGGGGTAACGCTGCTACCACCTAGGGTCTGGACTGATCCTGGCCCTGTGCCCCTGGGAAATACAGGCCTAGTACTCCTTGAGGGAGTACTGCTCAACCCACTGCAAGAACTTGGGGTGCTTCCCTCAGTCTGAAGCACAAATAGTGGTTGCCCATTGTCAGCCAAACCAAGGGGGACCCCAAGGCATAATCTAGCCCCTCTCCCAATCAGTCTCCCATGCTAGGTACAGAGGAGAACTTTATTGGTTACAAGGAGTAGGTTTGGAGTAGGGTACAGTGTAGAGCAATATCAGAGAAATCCCTTAGAGCAAACAGTGGCATGGTAGCCTTTGATTACATATCTGTGCTACTGCAAGCTATATATCTAGTTAGATCTCAAGTAGCTTACTTATAAGTATCATGCAGAGGCAGGTGGAGATTCCTTCTGGAGGCAGGCAGATCATTGAACATGAGTTTCAAGAGAGAGAGTGAGTTTCAGATGGTCCAGCTTTTCTGAGAGTTCTCATCATGGCTGCTGCCCTGCCTCCTGGGCAGTCCTTACCTTATGACCTTATTTACCTGATCCAATGAAGGCCAGCAGCTGTTGGCTGCTAGCCAACCAATTTGAAAGGCATCACTGGTTGCCGGGTAGACTGGCAAGGTCTCTAGCCCCCTCCCAGTCATGATGACATTGCTTAGACCAATAGGGAGTCTAAGCCCCCACCCAGGTGTGTGAGGCCAGTCATGTAGGCAGAGGGAGCAGGTTTCTCCCTCCCTCAGGAATGTATCCAGCTCAGGTTACAGCTCAGGGTTACCTGAAGCCAATGGGGCTAGGGGTGTCTGCCCTCTGCAGTGACCATGGTAACCAAATTGTCAGATAGGTCATCAGCCTGGTAGCAGAGTTCGGGGAGAGACAGAGATGGCATTCTGCCACAGTGCCAAGCTGTTTTTTGAGGATTCCCATTTTGCCAAATAACTAGTTTTTACAGTTGTTAGAATACCATGTGGCTAGGTGTCACCATAGGAGCATAAGACTGGGTATTACCATAGGACGTAGGAAGTTGCCTCCTGAGCTGTCAAATGCAGTCTTCTGAATTCAACCATAACTGCTGGGCCCACAAGATTATCCACGCAGACCCCCTGCTATACCACAGCCACAAAGCACCCAGAGAAGAAGAAAAAAAGCCTGCAATATGCCACAAGTAGAGGAGGGATTGGGGGGGAGGGAGGGCAAGGGCACTGCCAATGCCGGTTACTGCAAATGATAGGAAACTTGCTAAGTTAATATATTTTTCCATAATGCTGGGAAGAAGACCAGGTTCCATGGAAAAGAAGAAAAAACCCAGAAGAAAGCAAAAACCCTCATAGCCCTTGCCAGTTTGACTTGGGAGAAGAAAAATTTCTTTCTGACATCATATCTAATGATGGGTTTGGTTCTGATGGGGTCATGGGGTGGGGGGGAATTAAATTGCTTTAAAAAAAGAAAAAAGAAAAAAAACATTATTTTTTTGGCTCATGCAAATATGAATCATTTAATAGGTTTTCTTTTTCTTATTCTTGAATTACTAAGTTTGTTTCCTGTATGCAGGTTATATATGAGGTACCTGAATAACTGATAAATATAAGCTATAATATGTATAATACATTATATGATTTGTTACGTTTGATTGTATTCAGATCCAGTTTTGGCAGTTACACTGTTAAATACCATTAACTAAAAACATTAAACAATGAAAAAGCTTAGTAACTAGACCTATGGGTTATAGTATATCCATTAAAATTCGATTACTCAGTTTTACTAATGAAATCCATTGATTTTTATAAAGGCATTGCAGTGGTAACCTTTACTGTACCTGTAAAACAAAAAGGCTCTGTTTTTGCATTTTGCCTAACGCTTCAGAACAATGTGCTTAGTAGCTATGAGAGCTGATCAGAACATATTTATTGCATGACAGGATCTTCCATTTCTTATGAAGAATCCAAATTGCTGTGATTTACTCTGAATTTTTTTCTCTAGCAACTTGTCTTCAGAAACAATTTTCTTTGTCTTACATTCTTGCAGTAGGCAATTGTGCAGTTATTCAAATCAACAAATTACTAGACCTATTAATGTGCAGTAGTAATTCATGAAGAACAGCAAAACAAAGCATACAGGTGGCAGGGCTCTGGAAGAAAGCATATAACATTGTGCAAATTTTATTTCTCTTCCATTTTTCTCAGATGACATGCTAAAATATGTTGTGTGTAGGAACTGTAAAAATGAACAAATAATCATATATGTGACACTTTTTTGGGGAAGATAAAAAAATTAAGATGCTAAATTTTTAAGCAAGAAAAAATGCATGAGACAGATTTTCTTTTCCTTCCACAGGTTTCATTTAATGAACCCATTAAAAAGTCTAGTAGGATTTTAAATCAGTGTGTCAATGACAGTATTATTTTTCTTGCAAATTTTAAGGAACTTAATAAATTGCATTGGGTCCTTCCTGGGTTAGCATTAAATAACTTGGTACCATTATAAGTAGTTGCAAACACCAGGGTCTTTTTTTTGCTGAGCATTGCAACCTGTGCACTTTAAATTATGAGTTTGGTTAGCACGTAATGCAGCATACTCCTGGCAGATTCAACAAGCCTGTGAGAAAGTAATTCAAAACATTCCAGCCCTTTAATGCATCACAAAAATATATTCCATCTTGAAATAACAACAGTAAACTAACAGTAGTGATAATTCTGTTTTATTTAAAACCTAATTTTCTACTGAGCTTAGCACTTCAATTACTTTTTTTTTCTTTCAGTCATAACCAGCAGACCACCACATTTAGACATCCTGTGACAGGGCAGATTTCTCCAGAAAACATTGAGTTCCTATTACGAGAAGAGTAAGTCACTTCTTATCTGTCTTGAAAATTTTCTTTTTTTAAGTAACTTTGTATATGTGTTATGAATTGAACTTTGCTTGTGAGATAGCAGGGAGACTGAAAAGGTACTCCCCTAAATAGGGACTGTTGCTAGAATCAATAATAATACTTTTAAGTAAAAATAAATGCCAAATATACAGAACTGGCCTTAAAGTAAGCAGTATAATGTTACAGTGAGACCTTTATATTGTCTGCCAAAGGAAAAGTTACCAGTTCCCATTGTGATGATTTATCTTCATATAGTTCTGATTTTGAATGTGTATCTAGAATCTTGAACTGGTCTATTTTGATCTTGACCTATGCCAGTAAGTGAATTTATAAGAAAACAGAGTGAACAAAGTTAATACTTTTTGAGATCAGCAGGATTGAAATACATGTATTTTCCATTTTTTACAAATCCAACCACACTGGTTTTAGACTGGAACATAGCAAAACATGGCTTAATTAATTAAAAATCAGGGTGAGATGTAGAAAACAAGTCAAGTTTAAAGAAAATCAGTTCTAAGTCTGTTCGTGCTTAAAACCAGGAAGTCCAAAAATCAGTTTGGACTGATTCAAAACTAGAACATTTTTGACTGGCAGCCTGTGGTTTTAAAAAGTTTTTTCTGCCACTTAGACTGAGATGACTTTAATGGTGTGAACTGGATAGCTTGCTGCTGCTTAGCCTTAAACCAACTTGTCAGTTTGTTTGTTGCTTCTAGAATTGTGTGCTTAGGACCATTTGCATTTAAGGACTTAAAGGATGCATCTACACGAGATTTTTTTAAGGCGCATTAGGATGCGCGTATATATGTGCATGCACTTAATGTGCTTTAAAAATGGCAAATTTAGGCTACTTGCACTTAAATTTCATACCTGCAACCTGTGCACTTTAAATTATGAGTTTGGTTAGCACACAGTGAATGCTCTTTAACACCTGCACTTGTAGATGCTTGCCTAAACCCACTTAATGTGCATTAAGCTAATGTGCATTAAATTTAGGCACACTTAAATGCACATGTAGACACGCCCCTAAAAATATCTTAAATAGATCAAAATCCTTGGGTTGCTTTTAGACATGTTAACTCTTATATTGATGCAACCTGTTTTAGATTTAAGGTTTCTTATAATTTCACATATTTTGTGACTGCTTACACTTTTATATTGACATCTAGGCCTACGGTGCTAGGGGCTGTATGAACATAAATAACAAGACAGTACGTGCCTGCCTGTCTAAAGAACATGCAATCTGCACGCAAACTATTATAGAACAAGTAGGTGAACAGGTATGTGGAGCAAAAGCAATCATAGTATAGTGGTCAGCATAAAAAATAGCGGTCACAGCAACCTGCATAACCTTTGTCAATTTTTTATAGGCATCAGGGTGGAATAAATATTTTAGGAGACCTCCAGTGGAGGTCAGTGGGGTGGCATTGCAGATATGTCTATAAGCTTCTTCCAAACACCAGGGAAAAATTAGGAACAAAAGTTAAGAGGCTTATGGGAAGATTTATTTTTAAAAGGGCATTCAAGACTGACATACTTTGCAAATGAAAATGATGGTTGATTTGACTCTATGTTACTCAAAATTAGAGGGTTAAGTTGTGAAGGACCTTCTAAGCTAAGGGATAAATCACTTGAATTTGATGTGGTGAAGAAAGAAAATCAGTGGAGGGATGAAGAGAGCAATGGGGTATTTATAGAAACTGTAGCTAGGAAAATTATTTTTGCAGTGTCATTTTGATTAAATTAGTATTCTTGCAACGTGCATCTTTAAGGTCTTCAGCAGCTTAACCTGCAAGACACATACCTTGAAGGTGACTTGAGGCTAAGAAATACTATATCTGTTGTAAAGCATTCTAGTCTTGCTCATTTCCTTGTAACCAAAGTATCTGACCACCGTTCATGTAAAATTGATAGCAGTGGTGAAATCAGCAGAGTACTTCATGGAATCTCTGAAATTACTCCCATTTGGGAGAAGTGACTCTGCTTAGGGTATATGTTACTTTTGCTTTGGGGGATTTTCTTCAGGCAAGGAGTTAGCTTGGGCTCTTCGTAAGAACAAAATTAGTTAGCTGTGTTAGTCTGAAGTCAGATAGAAGGTAGGAAAGGATGGCACCTTAGGTCCCCTCTATACATTACATTTATGCTGTGATTAATGTCTTAATCCTCGTAGAGTTCATAGAATGTTAATTGTGGCATAAATGGCAAGTTTGGTACATGTGCACACAACCTAAGGCACTGTCCAGTGGCAAACCAGCCATAAAAATGTTCTATATTATACAAACATGGACTGTGTATTTTGCAAGTTAAGTTGATGTAAGATACAGTGAAGCCAAAGGTAACAAATGCAGGAACTGCTCTTGTATGTAATGTATAACATTTTAAGGCTGGTTTATCTGTTGCCTTAAATAAAACATGTGGTAGGCACAGCCCCAGGGCCAACAGGCAGCTGATTGTCAGCTCCAGCCCCAGGACTGCACCGCAGTCTTGAATTAGCCCCAGTGCAGTTCAGGGTCAAGACTGACAATCAGCTGACTCTTGGCCTTGATACTGGACCTGTGGGCACCCAGCTTTTATTTTCCCAGTGCTGTGGAAGACTGGGATTCTAGTATCCCCTGGATTGGCAAATAGAAAGGGCAGGATATGATCCCATTCCCAAAATCATACTGCCTGCTACGCATGTGGGGCATGGCAGAAGGCTCACTAGGATTGGGGATTGGATCCCATGGCACCTTTACATGAATGTGCGCTAGGGGCTTTAGACTAGTTTGTCTATTCCTAACATCTGATGAAACCGGTTCTTGCCTATGAAAGTTTGTGCCTCTTTGAACCACTTAGTCTCTAAGGCTAGGGACAGACATTACACATAAGTCGGTTTCACTGATCAGAAATTGGTTTAAACCTATAACAGAACAGATGTTCAGTGCACATAAACCAGTTTGAAAATGGCTGAAACCAGTTTGAGATAAATCTGGTTGAATGTAGTATCAGACTTAACTGATTTAGGTCAAACGGATTTATGCAATGTCTGTCCCAGACCCCTTGCTCATTTAACTTAAACTGGCATGGGCTGGGCGGGGCTCTCTGCTCCACAGCAGAGCTGGTGCCTCCCCTCTGCTCCCTGGCTAGAACTCGGCAGAGACTTTGGGCACCTGCCTGGCCTTCCCCCTGCTACCCTCCTCCCCTCCTAGTCCCCTCTGCCTTACACAGACACCTCTCAGCATGTGAGCTAGCAGATCACATCCTGGCTATGGTCCATGCTGTGGCAGATGGGAGAAAGGCAGAATCAACAGGTAGCTGGTAATGTCCCACTGTTTTCTTATTGGGGTGATAAACACTGTGTTATCAATTCCCCGCTGGGCTGGTCAGAAGTGGGGGGGGGGCTCCCTAATCAGAGTGTCCTGCCAGGGCCTGACCACACACCCCTCAGCTCAGAACTATGGAAGGGAAGGGAGGGCTGCTCTAGCACCCCCCATCCCCCCTCACTTCTAATCTGAATCACTGCAGGCATTTGCCTGCATTTCTGGGATGTCTGTTCAGTTACAAACTGATTCAGCCTAGCCAGGTTAGACTAACCTGCAAAGATTAAATCAATTCAGGCTTAGGCTTTTTGAATGTCTGTCCCTAGCCTAAGGCTGCTGATGGATGTGAAAAAAAATTAAACAAACTGCACTTTACTGGAAGAAGCAGCACATTAGTTTGACCCAGCTCTGAAGCATCTATATGAATTGTGCACTTCCGCAGGACTCTTTGGTACTTTTATCTAATAACTGGTTCAATCAGCTATTATATAAAAGCACCAAAAAAGCCCAGCTGAAGCACATGATCTGTACAGACATTGGGCCTGCACTGGGCTCAGTGCAGGGACACGCCAAGTTTAAAGTAAAGCACCATTTTGGTTTGTTTTTTTATGTCTATAAGCAGCCTATGATGCCACTCTACCAACTCTCTTCATAAAAAGGGGCATTCATGCTGTGGGTGGTTTATGGTGGAAAGATCCTCTCAAAAGAGGAAGGTGTTGCAGGGTTTGCTAAAGATAAATAGGCTCTGGAAACTTTTTCATAGCCAGGTTCTATTGATCAAGAATACTTCCCCCCCCCACACACACCTTTTGCATGTTGTCTTGGACTTTGTGGTGTGTTGTCTGTCAGGAAAGTGCGGGTGTCATTGTTCATAATTAGAAATTTGATCTTCAGTGTAGCTGGGATACGATCCCTTAATTGCAATTTAATCCAAATTGAAGATTAAGAACAACATCTGAAACTGGCATCAAAAGCCAACTGGGAGCTACTAGTGAGCCTTGAATACAAATCTCATGCATTCATGGCATTCTGGAACATAAGATAAACTTTACATTGAACTTCGGATACAATAAAGCCAATGGTGACAAATACAGAAACAGCTCTCCTAATAAGGAAGAGGTAAAAAGCAGATTTAAAAACTGTTGCTGCCTGGTCAGCTAGGCTTAGTTGTAAGAGAAATGTGACCCACAAAGGTTTGCCCCAGTTTAAATATGTACTATGTTTGTTTGGTTGAGATAACTTGCCAGTTAGTGTTTCAGCATTTCCTCTTTTGGACCAGCTTCAACCTTGATATTGCCTGGGTCCAGCTTGCACCAGCTGCTCTTCATCCAAATGAATTTTTGAAACTGAATATTAATACAAGCACAAACACAAAAATGCAGAAGATTCCAGACTAACCTGGAATGCTAAAATCATCTATTCGTTTTTTGGCATCTTTGTTTTGCTTGTTTTACCTTCACTTTGGATGTTTTACTAAATAAAGAGTTTGGTATGTTCCAGATCCTGGAGTGCCAGAGTTGGGTCTTTTGTGTGTCCCATGATTTAGAGTAGGCAGTACAATTAGAGATGAACAATGCACTATGAGAACTAATCTCAATAAATACTGTTGGGAGAGCTTGTCAGAGCCCAGGTATGCACTCAGCACTGCAGCACTTTCCTTATCTGTTCCTTTCTGCC